GTTGTGGTGGAGCAATTGGAACATATATCGCACAACCAAAGATCCTAAGATGGGAAATATTTGGCTCCTGACCAAAAGCCAATTGCAATGGGGAGACTTTATGATAACTTGTAGGCCTTATCCGCACAAGTGTTGCTGCGTGCAAAATAGCATGATCCCATACAGAAATGGGAAGTTTTGTTCTCATAAACATTGGTCTAGTAACTAATTGGAGGCGTTTGATCAATGATTCTACTAGACCATTTTGTGTATGAACATGAGCAACCGGATGCTCAATTGTTATCCCAGTTGAAATACAATAATCATTAAAGGCTTGGGATGTAAACTCACCAGCATTATCAAGACGAATTGTCTTAATTGCATAATCTGGAAATTGTGCTCTTAGCTTTATTATTTGAGCCAATAATCTCGAAAATGCCATATTGCGGGTTGATAGTAAGCACACATATGACCATCTTGTAGATGCATCTACCAAAACCATATAATATTTGAATGGTCCACATGGAGGGTGAATGGGCCCACATATATCACCCTGTATACGTTCCAGAAATGCAGGGGATTCCATCCTAACTTTAATAGTTGATGGTCTAATAATTAATTTTCCTTGAGAACATGCAGCACAAGAGAATTCCTTAAATTGAAGAATCTTCTGATTCTTCATTGCATGTCCATGTGAATTCTCAATTATTTTACGCATCATATTAGAACCAGGATGGCCCAACCGGTCATGCCAAATAATAAAATTATCTTGATTAGTAAACTTCTCGTTTACTACGGCATGTGTTTCAATCCTGCTAATACTTGTGTAGTATAAGCCGGAGGAAAGAGCAGGTAACATTTCAAGCACATATTTCTTACCGGACATTATTGTAGTAATATAAAGATATTCAATCTTTTCATCATTTGTAGTCTCAATATGATAGCCATTTTGGCGAATATCTTTGAAACTTAATAAGTTTCTTTGAGATTTACTACAATATAGTGCTTCATCAATAGCCAAATTTGTTCCTCCTGGTAGTAATAAATTGGCTCTTCCAGAACCTTCAATTAATCTTGTACTACCGGATATTGTATTAACATTCGCTTCTTTCATTACCAAATAAGAGAAATATCTCTTATCTTTTAAAATAGTGTGTGTTGTAGCACTATCCAGAAGACATATATCATCTTTACTAATCTTAAGTCCAACTGAAGATTGGGGAATTTTCATATTCTTCATAAAAAAAAAGGACAAATAATACATCATAAGAAATATGAAAAACAAGAAGAAAAAAACATTAAGAAATACATTAGGAATGTAGAAACTAGCAACACATGATGCATTAGGAAAATACGCTCAAGAAAAATAAACTAGTTGCAAAGATAAAAATAACAACTTTTATAGCTTCATTCCCTAGTAAGATGATTAGTTCTTCAGTCAACATCCTCAAAGAAGTCTCCAACTTCTAAATGAGTAATATTTGTTAGGCCTTCAAAATCATCATCTTTATATGCAAGATGTGCCTTAGAATCATATTTATTTGAGGGACTTGCTTCATCATCATTATTCTGAAAGGTCAAGTGTGCATCCACATTATTTTCTTTTTTATTGAGGGAGGCTTGATAAAGTTTGACAAAATATTCTGGCGTACGATAAATGCGTGCCCAATGACCTCTCATACCACATCGGTGACACATACTAGCTTTACCTTTTGAATGATTAATTTGAGAACCCTTATTGTTCTCCAATTTATTTTTACCATAATGACAATAATTGTTTTGCCCCCTGCCACATCCACGTTTACGACCATGTCCATGACCACGGTAATTATTTTGTTTTCTTTCAAACTTATCATATGTTGCTACAGCATTCACTTCCGGAAATGGAGCTGACCCAGTGGGACGGGCTTCATGATTTTTCATTAATAGAGTATTATTCTGCTCAGCCACAAGTAGGCATGTGATTAACTCAGAATATTTCTTAAAACCTTTTTCACGGTATTGTTGTTGTAGCACAACATTTGAATCGTGAAAAGTAGAAAATGTTTTTTTCAATAAGTCTTCATCTGTGATAGTGTCTCCACATAATTTTAATAGAGAACTTACTTTAAAGATAGCAGAATTATACTCACTTACGGTTTTAAAGTCTTGCAACCTTAAATGTATCCACTCATACCGAGCTTTCGGTAATACCGTAAGTTTTAGGTGGTCATATCGATCCTTCAAATTAATCCATAATTCAAGTGGATCTTTTACGGTTAAATATTCAATTTTTAACCCTTCATGTAGATGATGACGAAGGAAAATCATGGTCTTCGCTTTATCCTGATTTGATGCTTCATTTCCTTGTTTAATAATATTTCCAAGACCTTTAGCGTCAAGGTGAATTTAAGCATCAAGAACCCATGATAAATAGTTCCTCCCGGTGATGTCAAGTGCCACAAATTCAAGTTTTGATTAATTTGACATAGTGAAAACTTAATAAAATATGGCTCAGCTTAGCAGGAGTTAAGAATAAAATTAGAGTTTCGTGCTGATAACGTGTTATAAAAGAAAAGCAATGCAGTAAAATGTAAATAAGAAGAGATAGAAAGAAGGGAGAAGAGTTTTCTTCTTTCACTTTGGTGTATTTTTTCATTGCAATTACATGGCCTTTTATAGGCATAAAAAGTAAAGATGATGGACATAAAGTAGGAAATTTAATCTTTAAGTTATTCACAACATGGGCATCCAATGTAGCATCTAATGTAGTATCCAAAGTAATATCCAATGTACAAACTATTCATAACAAGATTCTTTTTCTTCAACATTCGGGAGCATAATGTACACAACAGTATGCACTAAATTATGCTGGGATCTCATATGTAAAAAATTTGAACTCTAGCATATTATGCTGGAGTCTTTCCGGATTTTTAAGAGTGTTTTTATTCAAATTTTATTTTTACATGAAAAAGTGCCTAAATTTTGATTACTTTTGATATTGTGGCTATTTTTCAACTACCAGTTGTAAATCTGGCTATTTTCTAAAAAAAATCCTTAGTTATGGCTCCTCCAATATTTCTACCATGTAAACACCATTCAACTAACAAATTTTTTTACCCCTCTCCAGACCCCACTTATGGGATCACATTGAGTAGTCTGGTGTATAATCCTCTTCAGACCCCACTTATGAGATTACATTGAGTATGATGTTATCTAGTGTATAATTTAAAGGAATTTTTACCTCCTATAACAAAGGATAACACCTTATTTATTTTAAATAAATACCATTTAAAAAAATTATATTCTATAGATACTTTTTAATGTTTATAGCAAAATATCTAATTTTGGTTACCTCCTACCCCTAAGCCACTAAATACGCTATTCAGCTACACTATTTTCTTTCTCTCTCTACTTTGATACATGCCATTCTCTTCCCCCATTCCCTGAAAACACGATGCTCAATCTCAAAATTCCTCTCACCCACATCACCTACTATTAGTCACAAACAATGATTTTGCCTGGTATATCACGAAGACTTCTCTGACGAACCAACTCCAAAAGACGGATAATTCGTGCTTGGATTGTGAACTCTCTGATAATGGGGACGCCTTTGCTGTTGGTGATTGCCATAATAATTGGGTGAGGAATTTCGTGTGTGATTATGGGGAAGTTGGGAAGAACAATGAGTTTGCAGAGTACTCATAGTTTCTTTGATGGAGAAATAAACGAACAAAGTTGTGAATGTTCTTTGAGTTCTTGAAAACAAACAAAGAGCAGCAGAAACTAATGTAATGAGAGCCGGAAATTAGGGTTTGTTCTTGAACAAAGACGATTGAGCAACTTGATTTTTTGTTAATATATTTCAATGTATTTTCAATGTATCACGCTGTATTTTCATGTATTTCATGTATTCGTTGTCTTTTTTTCATTGTAATTCAATGTATCTCGATGTATTCCATGTATTTCATTATATTCACTGTCTTTTTTTCATTGTATTTCAATATATCCCATTCTATTCTATGTATTTCATTGTATTCATTGTCTCGCTATATGCCATGAATGTATTCGTATGTTTTTTTAATTAATATAATTTATGTGTTCAGATGTATTATATAATTTCTTTGAAGATTACTATGTTTTAGGCGGTTGAGAATCTTTTTTATAACTGAAAATACAAAATTTGTGTGTTAGAATTGAGTTTGTTGAGTTATATTAGGAGTCTATTATGTTAATTGATTCACTTTCTGTTTAAAAACAGTGTAACCCCCTGTTTCACCCCGTGAATACATCGAATACAATAATCTGTCCAGCTGTAATCTCATGTTTCACACCATGAATACAGTCGAATACACTCAAATACAACAACTGATTAGCTGGACTTCCCTAATTCACGCCTATTTTTGCTACTGTATTCATGAATACAGTAGCTTAAATACATCTAATACATCTTATAACAACAGAAAACGTATCTACAATCCGTAATATAGCAAATGGTATCTATAGATAGCTAATTACCACTAAAAAATAGTGCTTTATGAAAATTTCAATAATTAAACTCAAACTTATAGGTCACAAAACAAGATAATTAACCTACTCAATACATGATTGACTCACATAACACAGACATAACACTTCCTTGGTTTAGAAACTACACTGAGCTTGCTGACACTCAAATCTGTTCATATTGCACACACCACATAATTTTCCACCTTCACTCGCATTTGGTCATTTCGAATTTGCAGAGTTCAGCATTTACATATCTAATACTAGTAATAATTTAAGTACCAACATTCCTACAACATTGACATAAGCAAGGGGAATACAAGGAGAGTTTGATATACGCAAACTTCATAAATGATTTACATCTCTCTGAGAAGGCAATATAAGCGTCAGTGCTGTTCGATGCACATGACCAACAGACTGCCGTTGGACGTTCTTCTTAATGGAACCCAGGCATGAACATCAACTCTTGCACAAAGTTGATTATAGAGAGAACAAACTCCCATTTTCGGAAGTGTAACCTCATTGCAAAAAAGAAGGGCTGATTTGAACGATAAACTAATCCAATAAAGCAGTCAGGAACAAAAGCAGAAAAGAAATTCGTACAAGAGGAACTTCAAATTTCACAGCAGAAACAGCTGATTCAACAAGGAACATAGTTATGAATCCAGGCATAACGATAAGCAACACAGTGATTAAAGAAAAGTTCATGTACATGACCGCATCTTGGATTCAACCAGACAGTGAGAATCCATAAGGCTCCCTTGTGCCACTACGCTTTATTTCTTTCCTCGAAGTTTCGCACCAAGGGCTCTCTCCAGTTTAGAGATGATCTGCTGGTTTGGAATTGCCTTTCCTGACTCGTATTCTTGGATGATCTGTGGCTTCTCATTTATCAACTGCAAAACAAGGAAAGGTACTTATCAGATTTATTTTGCAACAAATTGACAATCTTCTCTGTTTGTGCCCAACTTTTTTGGGGGGGGTTGGAGTCCAAAGTGAGACAAAGAGGCATACTTGAGCAAGTTGAGCCTGAGTCAGTTTCTTGTCCTGTCGTGCTTGCATGATGGCTTTCTTGAGTTCAGTTGGTACCTTTTCATCTGAAAACATATATCAAACTATCAATGGATGCTATCAAAGGAGAATGGTATTGTGGTGCTCTAGGGACAAAATAAGCACAAAAAAACAATAGAGCATAGGCATAACTGCTTAACATCCAAGGTTATAAAATAGCAAGGCAATGTTTTGTTTTTTTTTGTTTTTTTTTTTGGGG